AAGATGCTTTCTGTGTAAGGGAAGGAAAGGAAAAGCAAAGCAGATATGAGTCTAAAGGTATTGGACTCAAACAGCCAACTTCCACCCTGCCTGACCACAGCCACAGAACACAAAGTATTATGACATTCTTGGGAATACATGTTTATGTAGATGCTACCTTTTTATTGCAGCTGGTAAGGTCCTGGTCATTCCTACCACAGGAGCTTTCACAATCATTACTGACACCCTTTTGTGTCCCTCAGCTTACACGAAGTTCTGTAGCTTGTTGCATTCCTAGGAAGATGCCTGTGTCCCTTTACACTGGACAAAAATGGCTTTGAGTAGTTCAGAATTTAAATACCTACTGGCCTCTTGTGGGCTGTGTTGTTACATCCTTTACACTGGCTTCAGCACTTTTTCATTCTTGGAATAACAGGATGATAAAACTTCAAGTACGATGCTAAAAGGAATAAACCCTCTGTAGGTGAAAAAGATACTTTTTTATTTAAAAATAAACATTACCTTCCCAATCCCAGGTTGTCTTATGATCGATTTTGACACCATTTCAACACTTTGATCAAAGACAGACTATGAAATAATTTAACAGGTTTTTTTTTTTAATGCTAAAACTAAAATATGTGGGGGTCCAGGTTTCAAACAGTTAAACATTCAAAAAAAATGTGCTTTGATGTTTAAGCTGTTTCCCAGTGCTGCTTTCACACTTCCAGGCTTTGGCTTTGTTTATTTTAAAATTATATATGCAGCACTTTCTCTCCGTTCCAAGTCCAGCCAGTTCATTCAGTTACTCAAGCAGCGACTTGGTGTTTTAGAAGATCAGTTCACAACTTCAGATTAGAGGTCATTCTTTAATCAGCTCTCTTCGATTCCTTAGTAACTCTAAGATTCTGCCACTTCCTCATATGGAGGACTTCATTCCCAATGAGAAGGGTGCTTCTCAAGGAGGGAATGAATTACAGATCTCAGCTTGTGTATTTAGCTTTTTTTAACTTTACTTGTGTTAACCACAGCACTGCTGACATAGGGCAGGAGATTGTTTTAGGTGGGTAAGGCCAATCCATCAGGCAGAACACAAGCAATCTGTCTTGCTTGCAACTAAGGCTTAACAAGATATAATGGCAATAAACTGCTTAGCTGACCACACTTGATTTCTGTTTGGAACAGAATGTTACCTATTCCATATTTATGTTAAATTCAGTTGAAAAGGGAGTCTAGTGCAGGAGGCACCTGGGTTATGCTCTGCAAAACACAGGAACTGAAAAAACCAAAGAACATAAAAATCTCGCCAGCTTCCACAGGCTGATGGGAACAATTCTATGGGCAAACTCTGGAAAAAGCAATAGACACCACAGCGTCCCATCCCTCTTCAGGAATATACCACCTTTTCCTGATTTTTAGGTGATTTAGGTGCTAGGTTAGGAAAAAAAGAGGAAGGTGAAAAGTTTAACAAAAAACAAGAAAAAAACAGCGCAGAGGCTGAAACATTGTCAGCTTTTCCAGTGAGCAAAAAATACCACATAGAGAGAGCCAAAATAAACATATGCTGTTTCACAGGCTAAAGAAGGAATCCAGCAAGTCAGATGCTGCTCCCTTGTCTGGAAGCTCGTGTTCTATTAACACAGATCAAATCAGAATTGTGTAGAAATGGGACTGGTAACACCTCAAAGTGGATAAGGTGTTGTTTATTGCTTGCTTAATAAATGCAGGAAGAAACCAACCTTCACTTATCTCTTCAGTATTCTACTTGAGGAGCAAGAGCCCAACTTAGCTACAGAGAAACCTGCTTTCTGGACTGAAAGTTGTGTTTTCCCCAACGAAGACCAAAACACTGACAACACAATCCAATTCCTCCCACCTATCCAAACTGACACCTTGACCTTTGTGTTGCCTGAGTGTTTGCTTTCTGTACTCTTCACAACATCCTAAATACCGAGAAGACAGCAGTGGATGTAGTAAAACCAATCAAACATGGCTTTCCTTCTTTTGAGATAGGAGGAGTCAAAACTAATTTTCAAGAGGAGGTTTCCATCGTGCATTATCAGTTTTGACTTAATTCCTGACAGGTTTCCTTGTGTGCCTCCTTCAGAGGCAAACAAGATAAATATGCAAAGGAAACCTGTGCAGGATATCCCCTTCTGGTCCCTGGAAATGTTGCCTTTGCCTTTTCAGAGGAAAGTTGCACCTGGTACTGGGACTAGGGGAGTTAAAGTCAGACTAACAAAAAAACTTAAAGGCAAACACAACTGCTTCTCAGTGGAGAAATACCAGTAGTAAGATGCACATAACTGCAGGTTTCTACCCCCAAAATTCTGGGATGAACATGTATTCAGAAGAGGTTGAGCTCTCTGAGGGGTGTCTAGCTAAAGACAAGCTCTGTCCATGGAAAGAGATGATTTCTGGAAAACACTGGCTATCAACTTACTGGGTTTAAAGTAGTGCAATACAGTGACTTATTTAATTCTATTTTAAGCATAAGCAGTAACAGGCAGATAAGACAAAGAACCAAGAGGGAGCACAAGTTGAGTAGCATGGTCCAGCAGAGAGAAAGGGCCAGGAACTGCAACACCCTGTGCCAGACTGTTTAAGCTTTATGTGCTCAAATGTTCAGAGCCATATTGCCAGCTCTGGTGCCAACCTGGCTTTTAATTCTGAGTAAATAATTCAGTCTCTCTCTTCATTCAGCTTTGCTATCATCTGAGTAAACTTGACACTGCTGTCCTGCTGGGTATTACATGGCCCAAAAGCTTGGGCAGGTCTAATCATAACTCCTTCTGTGACTTTCACACCATGCCATGAGACTGTAGCATCTGTTGTACTCAGGCGCTGGAGCCTGATCTCTATCAGTGTTCAAATAAGAGTGGATTCTCCTCTTTCCTTGCATGTAATCGAAGAAATTAACTTCTTTGTGATTATGTGAAATTCACTTTGAGACACAAGAAATCAATGCTTGTGTTGCCTAGAGCATGCAGATCTTTGACTGCCTGTACTTTATGCACAAAGCTGCAAAGGCTGCTTTCATTCACATATTTTCTTTTGTGCTTTTGAATGGAGGATTTTTTTTTTAACTTGCAGGAGCTTGCTTGAGCTGCTCTACTTTATCCTAAGGTGACTGTCACTCTTGCAGACACCAGGAAATACTCATCTACAGACTTGGCAGGAGAAACAAGGTTATCTCCAGGGTCTTCAAAAGAAGCGTTTTGTTTTTTCTCCATAGCAAATCTATAAAGAATGACCATCTCTGTGCAGGCTGCATGATTCCTCCACTGAAGAGACAGCAGGGAAGTGACAGCAACCAAGGTCCTGTTTTGTCCTGTCTTCATTCTCAAGTCAATTTTGCAACTGTGAATTCACATGTTAAGATTTTTCCATTGTAGAATAATTATAGAGGAAAAGACCAGAATAAATAGATACTTTTGAAAGTCTTGGAAGAAATGTAATTCTCTTCCCTACATGACTACTAGGTAGTTGACATTTAAGAATAATTTGACCAAGTCATCTTTATCTTGATCCTTCAGAGAACGAGTTGTGCTTTATCTGGGGACAGCCCTTACACTCAAGTGCAACCTTAGCTTTTGTTTTTACGTAGCTTTGGTACCTGCTGATATCAGACTATCTGCATGAGGACAGAATGTGGTATTGGCCTGTCACCGTGACAGAAACAGGATAAAACTGCTTAAGGGTGGTGAGACCAAACCGACCAGCAAACAACCAAAGCACTGAGCTAGGCTCTGCCCTGTGCAAAGTGTGAAAAGCTTATCAAACAGAAGACATCACGGTTCTAAATAAAATCATCCTATGTTTGCTATATGCTTACCCACTTGGAGAGAGGAATTCAGCCCTCTGGGAAACAACTGTGTTGTAGGTACTAATCCTGTGGTCTCTGGTACAAAGAGTTCCAGGCACTGAACAGGAGAGAGTGGATAAAATATGCTTGGAATTTTCATTTAATAGAGAAAGAGTAAAAAGACAAGCCTAGCCAGAGACATAGCTTAGCTTGGTTCCTATTGTCAGCTCAGTTTCAAACACAGTGATTACAGAAGCAGCAGCCCCACTCATCTCAAGTGCTTGCACACGGCCAGAGCTCCTTTCTGCTAATCTCAAGCACTTCTTAAGACTACCTCTGCTGCCAGAAGAGATCAGAACAGCTGATAAAAGGTCCTTCAGATATCAAATTCTATTTAAAAAAAAAAAAGTAAAGAAAAAAAAGAGACAGAAATATGTTAATTATGATAAGGCCAGAGAGTAAATACGAGGATTAGCTCCAAATCTGTTAGACAAAATAACACTTCAAGAGGCATTTGAATATTTTGATCCTGATCAAGTGGTGTTTCTCTTGCCTAGTAGGAGGTGGCAGCAGTGCAGCCCTCATCACCAGAGCATGCAGCGAGGCTGACATGTGCTTTGTAGCAGTGAATTGATGCTAAACAACCTGATTTTATCAACAACCACACTCTGAGGACATTCCACACATGTTGAATCGGAGTGGACAGCAGGCCAGATTTCTTTCACTGGTGTAAATCATTCACTTCTACTCAAGCCAGTGAAGCACTGCCAACTAACACCTGCTGAACATCTGTGCAAGGACCTCAAGGTCAGTGTCTTAGAGTCCTTTATACCTTAAATAAAGTTATTTAAATACCATAAAGTAAAATAACAAAGTTATTCTCCTCTAGAAAATCTCCTTGGGCAGAAAGCAACATATCTGTTGAACTTACCTCCTATATGCACATTGCCCTCCAACCAACAAGTATTCTTTAGCAGATGCATGGGAAGCTGATGACAGAACAAGTAGTTTTATTCACTGAGTCAGTTTTGCCATGGAAGGGCACTGAAAAGCTGAAAAATATTTATAGGGAGTTCCACAAGCAATGTTATTCAGAATACCAGTGGTTATTGTGTTATTTTTAAAGAGTGCTTAGATGGAATAGTGTTACCCCTTTGAAAAAGTTGGTAGCACCAAGGAGAATATAGCTATCAAGATTTACATAAAACTAACAGTCGTGTTATGCTCAAAAGCTTAAGTTTATTGCTCTCTTTAATGACTATCACCAGTATTTTAAAAAAGAATGCCAGTTCTTTCTGCTAGCTTCTCACTGAAGGAAATATTTTAAATACAGCAATAAAATAAAGTGGTTTAAAGATAACACATTTTGCCACACATTCATGCAAACCCTGCAGACAGGATTTTTACAGGTTCATGGATACAGAATAAACACAAAGATGTGTACTGAAATATTGGGAAACTTTTTCCCCACAGTGATGAAGTTGTAGGTGTAACGTTTCAGGCCTTACCCTGCACCTGCTGACGTCAATGGCAAAACATCAGTGGGAGCAGGATCAGCCCTTATTGTTCTGAGAGCTGCTTTACCTTCTCCTGATTAGGAAGTGCAGTAAATTCACAGAATCCTCTGCACTAATAAAAGCAGTGGGTTTTGGTTATTGTTACAAATAAAGAGAAGCAAATATATTTTTAGTAGGTCATCAGAGCTTCTATTCACAAAACACTCATCTTTCATGTTAAGGATCCTGCTACCTCCATTTTTCTCTGCTCATTGAAGCACTAAACCGTGTGCTCACCTCTAAGCATTAAACACAAACTATAATCTTCCCAGCCTGATTGAAGTCTAAACCAAAAAGCACAGGCAGCAGTCTATATTACTGGAAACACTGTTGCCTGGAGCTCTGGTTAGAATGGGGTAATTATTGTCTAAATTTGGCTTGAGAGCAAATTTATCACAATGCAGCCAAAAAGTTCACACTTTTTTTTTTTTTTTAAGCTGCCTTTAGGATTTGCATTAATTTTAATAGGCACTGGACACATGGTTACCCTCAAAGCTTTGAAACAAGTATAAATTAATAGAATAAAAGTGATTTAATTATTAGACTGCTAATAAAGATGAACTAAAAAAATTCCTCACCTGATTTAAAATCTCAGATTTCAGGAGAAATTGTATTCTATGTAAAAATAGAAACTGTTTGCAGAAATACAATCTGTTTGCCAGATAACTAAGATGCCCAAATATTGACAAAGAAAAGGTAAAGCACAAAGCATTAATGTCTACTCAGATTCACCCCGCTGTCATGATACTGGGGTACACTGCTGGTAAGAATTCGAGACAAGAATTTGACTCATTGAAATATTGTTTCCCCCTTACTTCTGATAACACTGGTAGTGGACTGCTTTAGAAAAAATAAACAAGCAAACATGATGTGTGAAACATCATTTCAACGTGAATCTACTTGAGTTTTTCTATGCAGAGGCTCAGAAGGTTTACGATACACACAGTATTCGGTAAATTTATATGTAAAAACAATCAGAAAGAGGCAAAAATTTACTTTCAAGCTTAGTCAACATACGGCACATTTCAGCATGACAATTCAGAAAGTTTCACACTGTATTTGGATATATTAGCAATGACCTTTTAAAAAATAGCAAACTGAAGACAGTGTATTTTTCTGGCTTTTTCTTGCTTTTGTAACAAATGAAGCTGCTATTATTATTTACAGTATAAATAAGCCTTTTTTGGTGAAGATTATGTCCTGTCACATATGTTTAAGACAAGGCGTATCTCAGCTCTTAAATGTCAATGCAAACAAGAGCATAAAAGCAATATCAAAGTAAAATAGTATCTTTCCAGCTAAGACAGCCAGGTTACCATGTGTCTCTTATCAGATCTGAAATGTATCTGAGTGCAGTCAAAAGTTCTCCTGGCTTTAGCCTTTAGGAATATCATGAACACTTATTCTTCTGCTGCTCTAGAAAGCTGCTTTCCGTACAAGCTCATGACATGATGCACAAATTGATATTGTTCACAAGTCTGGATCATTCCACCCCTGAAAGGCAAGAAGAAAAGGGGAGGGAAACAGCAGTCTTATTACTCGAAAACACATGAGGAAATAGCACAGCTAACATGAAACTTGTGCTCCACACCAATGATCTATTCCAAAGCTTTCTGAAATGAGTGAGAAGTGCCCTTTGATTGTGACCAGCTTCAAGTCTGACCTTGAGCTCCATTTTGAAAGTTTCTGCTAACAAAGGAACAGAAGGTTATGAGAACAGGAATGGGCTTTACATTCATTTTCCTTGGCAGAGGCTCTCCTCCAACAAAGTACTACCATCGTAATTTACTACCTGAGCACCTGTACTCCAAGAACCTTTCTGTGAAAAGTAATTCCCATCCCAAAGCCCTGGAGAGATATATGGGAGCAGGGGAATAAAGAGGGGAAGCAGCTTATCCAAGACTTCAAAAATGCACTAGGGACTGAATTTGGGACCAAAGAGGGACAGGCCAGGCCAGGCCAAGCCAAACCAGCCCGGACAGCTGATGCAATTTTCCCGTTCTGCAATGAGGATTCTTTCTTCTGTGCTGCTCCACATCAAGCTTTTGGCAAGTTAGTCAGAGAACTAGAGATGGCCAGCAGGATTTTGGAGCACACAATATTACTTTAGAAAGGTAACTTCAGATTTGAAACTGAGTTGACTGCTTGATAGCAAAATATCCCTCAGCACAGTTATCTGTTTTAGTTCAGCTTATTTTTCAGCTTTTAGAGTTCTCTTTAAAACTGAAACCTGAAAGGAAATGAAAGCAGGAGCAAAACCAGTTTGATTTTCCATGTGTCATTAGCCTGTGTATTTCAGCAAGGAGCATATTAACCAACATACGAGCACTACAGAGGGAAACAGAAAAGAACAAAATCAGGATGAAGTTGTTAATTTTTAGCAGCTTCTACTAACATTTGAAATTTTGCTTAAGAGCACCCCTTTGAAAGTGATATGATCTCTTGACAACCCATTATGAAGACAATTAAAACTTGTGTCTGAAGCTCACAGAGTGAATGCAGAATTGTGCCAGCATTGGTGCTGGTGCACAGATCCTGGCAGCACAGTGCCAAAAGAAGGCTGAAATGGCAAGTGGAGTTGAGGAACATGGGAATCCATGGGTGACATGGAGCCAACCAGACTGTGTCAGTCTGAGGAAGAGTGTATGCAGTGCATTCCCTTAGAAACCTCACCAGAGGCCATTCACGAAAATTGCTTCCTCTCAGCCAAATGGGTAGCAGACTGCTAGCACCCTCCTTAGGGCCCTTTTCTATGGGGTCCAGCTTAACCACTATGGGTCACACAGTAGCCATACCTGTAAGGGGAAGATCAGTGGGAAATACAACCTTGTCCTTCAGCCCCTTGCACTTACTTTGTTAAGCAGCTGCTTGAAATAACACTTAACAATAAGCAGGAAGGGCAGGGACCTATTCAACAACTAGCAAAGGTGAGAAACACACACTGTGTTTCTAAAAAAAAATATAAATATTTCCTAGCTGAGCATCTCCTCCCCATCTGCTCTACTTAATACAAGCTCACAGTTGGTTTGTTTCTGAGTCCCTCTGTGTTCCACACAGCACTGAAATGTATCTATGTCACACAAGGAATATAAGGAACATTAGTCATATCTGATGATTCTCCCCAAGAAATTCCATTAACAGGGGGTTGCACCCTGAAGTTGAAGCAACAGAAGCACCAGGATGACCACTGAGATTCAGACCACAGGAGATTATTTTCCTTTTTATCTGGTTTCCTGCTGTGTGGTGGCTTTCCCTTGCTGCACATATGCACACCATGACATGTGCTTGCTGTCCAGGCTTTGGCACAGAATTATATTTTCACCCCTATTTGCCACAAAAACCTTTGAAATCTGAGTTGCATTGTGGGCAATGACAGCAAATGTCTCTCAGCACTGTGGAAAGGATGCAGGAATGATTACTTCCTCTCCTGAGTCATACCAGGTTATTTTAGGACCATCTGTTGACCACTGATGCAAAGCCCAGTGCACAGAACTTTTCCAAGGGATTTGTGAGGGAAAGAAGGGAAAAAACCCTTTGTTCTCTCCATACCCATGGCAACCTCAAAGGTGGTTCTCAGGGCTAATGTCAACCTTTCTACTTCTGTGTAAAGCAGGGAGGTGCAGTCTTTCAGACATCTACTCTGGCCTGAATTCAGCCTTCTTTCCTTAAGTCCCTGGTGACTCATTCCCACCCCACACAGTAATGATCAGGCAAGAGGAGGAGACACAGTCTTCCCTCTTATAGCTGCCTGGACGCTGTCTCAACCTCTCATGTTACTTTTGAAGCCTCCTGAAGATTTTGGGGGGAATTATTGAAAATGAGAGTGGGTGGCTTCCAAGAGACTACAAGCCCTATTTTTCAGTCCTTGAAGAAATCATGCTTTTCTGTAGGAAGGATGGTGATCTGCTTTCCATCTTGAGTATTTTATCCCATGACATTTAAATGGCTTTTATCTATTCCATCCCACTCCTGAGAGCTACATGGCAGCTACAGAGGCTCCTGCAGTCTTTCTTTCGCCCTATGGTGTCCTTTAAGTATGAATTTCCTTCTTCAGAGTCTTCAAGTGACTGCCAGTTCCCCTCTCCCTTCAAAGCTAGTATTTGCAATTGGCCTGCTGTATCACACACATTTGTAAGCAGGCGCCTTTAGCCTTCATTTGTGTGGTGATTCCCCTGTGTAGCATTAGTCACAGAGACAGATATTTCACATCCAGACAGATATTTAACTGGACCATAGATAATCAGCATTCACTATTCATATCCTGGTTTTCTTTTTCTCAAGAAATCTTCCATTGTCTGGGCTAAAATCCACTGAAACAGCCAAATCTCTAAGCCCCTGCAGGTCCCTGTCTATCACAGCCTCAGCAGGGCAGCAAGCATTTCATTTTTTGCCTCCCACTGAGCATAATTTCTTCCCTGAAATAAAGTTCAGCGTGGGGTTGAGGTTCTTTTTTTTCCTCAGAAAAATCTTTGGTATGTTTTTCGTGACATCTCTTCCCCCGACTACATTTATCATTATCATTAGAGAGAGCACTGAGACATGTTTTGATGGCATTTGAAACCAGTAGGAGAGGAAAAAATAACATCTCTGGTACAAAATTCAAGTCTGTTTACTCCATAATCAAACTCAAGGTGGTGTGTTAAGAAATGCTTAACTGAAAACCATTAAATTTGTGGAGATTTTCACAGTTCCTTTCATATGTCTGCAAACACTCCACGTTGTGCACTCTCCTTCCCCAGGCAATGTCTCTCCCACCATGGCTCACAGCTTCAGTGTATGAGATGAATTTTCATTACTCCTTCTGGGAGGACAGTGATGATCTGTGGCTCTGAACTTAAGTACAGCAGATCTTTGAGCCTTCGCTTTTGTAGGAACAGGGGGCCAACTCCTCAGCTGGTAAAAGGTCACTCACTCCTTGCTGCATGGAGATGGGCAGCTGTGCAGACTTTGATGCCAGCTGTGAACCTAAATCAGCTCTAGCGCTGTTCATTAAGGTTTACTGCTCAGGCAAAGATTACAAGTCAGAGGAACATTCTCTCTTCCCCTCTTCTTATTTGCTTCTCCTTAAATAAGGGGAAATATTAGCATTTTTTCTTTTTGTTTTCTGGAAAAAAAACAGTCATTCTTACCTGTCTAACCGTAACTGGCAGGCTGTTCGCAAAATGTCAACTATGCCCTCGTTCTTCAGCTGTTTACAGCAGACACTTGTTGCAATAAAGCAGCCAGTCCTCCCGATGCCTGCACTAAGGAAGGGAAGAGCAGAGAGAGGCACTGGAGATGTCAGAAGGATTTTGGAACTTTCTTGTCAAATGACTGCCACTAAACCAGCACAGACTCCATGATCCCTTTTGTCCCTCTGACCTTTGCCAGCTGGGTGCTTCCAGATGGAAAGCCGTAACTAGGAAAAGATACCAGCTTCACTGGATGACATGATTAAGTGTGAGCCATCACAGCAAAAGGGTGAACATTGCAGATACAGTGCTAAAAATGGACTATTGGAGACTCACTGACCCAGTATCTTGTTGAACCTCTCACTGAACCATTGAAAAAAAGCCTCTGCATTTCTTAGTAAGATTTGGTTCGACAGCAACCCTTGCTCTGCAGGCAAACTTTGCTTTGCAATTCTCAATTCTAACCGCTTCTTTGAAAGCTATTTTCATTCACAGGTAGAGCAAAAAAACCCCAACCCTTGGTTAAATAATTAGAGCTAACAGCACTCTAGTAAGCGTGATGCCATTTTCTGACCAGATCTACAATCTAGTAACTTGAATTAGAGCAGAACACAACAAATTCACTATCAAAAAAATTTCTTTAATTTTTCCTAAACTCTTTTGTATCTGATGCAGTCCTTAGTTAATGACCATAACTGAGTTTATTTTCAAAGACACAGGGCTATAGAAGCTGCAAATTCTTCTCATCACCTAACAAACTACCAGCAAATGCTGGAAGCCCTTCTTATGTGTGAAATAAGTAAGTCTTAGATAATAATACTCAGAAATAATTACTTGAAACAACTACAGGAAATCCTGCTTTCATTTACATTGTGAGAAAATTGTAATGCAAAACCACTGGCAACGAACGTTCAAGCAACATTGGAGTTCACTGTTCACAGCTGCCCACAAGTCCTTCATCTTCCACTTGACCATAACCAAACAGACCACAGAACACAGCTCCTGATACTGCTTACTGTCCAGAGACCTCAGTGTTTTGCAAAGGGAGGGAACAACACCCATTTTTAGATAAAGGAAACAACACTTGTCCCAGGACAAGCTGCAGGTCTCTCAGTGGCTGAGACAGCAGTGGGTGGCATGCTATCCACATAGAACACTTCATAATCCTATCACCATTGTCTCTTAGTATTTTTTTTGTTCAAATAAAAATGCCCCGTTTCTCCCTGGATTATTACTGTGTCATGGGGATAACACCATACAAGAGGACAGAACAAATATGCGAAATAAGAGTTACACAGTAACCAGCACCAGATTCCATAGTTCTTCAAGGAGCTCCTGGAGAGTCACAAATTTCATGGACAAAAAAAGAGGACCTCCTAACAAAACGTTTCTTAGTTTCATCTGAACTCTGCCAAATTTTTCCACATCTGTTTTAAAACACAGGCAGAAAAACTGGACATGTGGCATCACAGGAGCATTTTAATAGTGATTATTCCATATTAGCTTATAGTCGGATCTTTGATGACACCAGGCTACCAAGCATTTCTGCCAAGAGGCTCTTTAAAAACATTCTCATTGTATAATATCCATTTACTATGGCTTTTAGAGAGCAACCATCTGATGTTTCCTAGAAAACATTATTCAAAATTAAGTAAAATTCTGTACAAAAATAAATTTGGCAAAATGTATGTTATTGAAATTATGGAAGATTACCCTGGCAAGACTAACTGCATCTCTTATCAGGCTTTCTGCTATTTACCTTGAACAACTATTTTGAGGACAGACTATAGTTTCCAAGTAATCACATTTAACCTTTCTAAACACTGGCAAAACAGGGCTTCCTTTTAGACCTCTGGAATGTCTCCAGTTCCCCAAGAACTGTAATTCATCTATGCTAAACTTTAATGGTTTAGAGTGTGTGAACCAACTTTTTTAGAACACTCTTGGATGAAAATCAACTAGCATATCTGATTTAATAGTGGTTGCTGATGCTTAACACGCTCCCTAGTTAGCAGAGCAGAAGAACATACTTCATCATGTCTGCAAATGATAAGTACATCACCCCTTCTTCTTTCTGAGGATACAGAAGTATCTATCCTCATCTATTTTTATTCTGCTCTGATTGATAATTACAATTTTCTCATCAGGCATCAAACCACTGTAAAGACTTTGCTTCTTCCACAGAAGTTTTCATCTTTGCCAAGGATTTTTACTGATACTTCAGTTGTACTATCAGTGGCATACGTTTCCTGACTATAGATTACTACTTGCTGTAATCAGCTTTGCCACTCTTTCATTCATGTATTGTATTTAAATTGTCTTTGGCCTAATAATGATTGGGAAAAAAAAAATAAGCAAAGAAGGAGTCTACAAAACAGGGGGTTTTGATGCTTGAAGTTGAATGTTATTATTTGTCTGCTTGCATGTGTCTTCCTACTCAATTTCACCTAAAGTATGTTAAACTTTGCTAACCTGGCCCTTAAAAGAATTAAAGGCATATATTACTGGTAAGGCAAATAAAATGAAATTATTCTTGCAAGTAACTGAGCTACTGCCAGTTTCTATGTTCAGCTCAGACTGTATCTGAATGCAACACTTGATAACAGAAAATCATTGTCATAACAGCTTTGAAACTCCAAGCAAATTGCAGAAGCAGTTGGGCAAGATTTCACACGTGTGACTGATGGCCTATATGGCAGTGTCTACACTGTGTCACTGCATGTGAAGAAGCCCTTGGAATTCAGACACAACATTTACTTACCTGCAGTGAACAATCACTGGGGCATTCTTCTCCTCTGCACTCTGCATGGCCTCTTCCACTTCCAGTACTAGCTGTAACAGAGGAGGGGCCTGGTCTGGTGTCTTCTGGTCTGGCCAAGACGTATACCAGTAATGTTTCAGGTTTCTGACTTCATCTCCTTTCTGCAATCCAGTTAAGACAAACACCACAAAAGTTTGACAAGAACTCACTGTAAATTAGTACTGAAACATGGCCTTCCCTTTAAGACTGAGGGGATTAAATCAGTCTGCTGGAAAGACAACGCGGCTGGGAACACACAGTCCAGGAGACCGCTGAAGAGCACTGATGAGATCTTTTTGACTCAGAGGGGGTGAAGGAGCCAACAAGGAGAGGTGTCCTTGTATTAAGTACATGGCTGGGCACTTGAAGGTTGGGGGCAGCCTTGGCTACAGTGGCCAAGAGCTGATAGAGGATCCTACATGGAAGGAGCAAGGGCAGTAAGTAGGATTGCAAGCCTGAACTTTGGAAGACAAATTTGATTCCTTCAAGGACTTAATTGCAAGAATCCCTTGAATTAGGGCCCCAGAAGATGGGGGATCCAAGACAGCTCCTTAATAGTCAAGCATCACTTCCTCCAAGCTCAATTTCAATGCATCCCTCTGGGTAAGAAATCATGCAAAGAGGGCAGAAACCATGCATGGATGAGCAAGAAGCTTTTGTCAAAAAAAAACAAACAATCAAACAAATACAAAAAACAACCCACAAGAAGGAAATTTATGGAATATGGAAAAAGGGACAGGGCACTTGGGAGGAATATAGGAATGTTGTCAAAGTATGCAGAGATGTTACAAGAAAGGTTAAGGTCCATTTGGAATTAAATCTGGCAAGGGATGTCAAGGACAACAAGAAGGGTTTCTTCAGTTGCATCAGTAGCAAAAGGGAGAGCAGGGAAAATGTAGGATTGCTGTTGAATGAGGTGGGAGCCCTGGTGGTAGAGGATACAGAGAAGGCAGAATTACTGAAAGCCACCTTTGTTTTCAGTACTCATTGCCAATGCTGGCCCCTCAGGAGAATCCCAGACCTTGAAGGCAAGAAATTATGGAGAAAATGACAACTTTCCTTTGGTTGATGAGTATTGGGTTAGAAAGCATTTGGGTAAACCTGACACCCACAAATCCATGGGCCCCAATGAGATATACCCAGGAGTGCTGAGGGAGCAGGCAGATGTTACTGCTACGTCACTCTCCATCATCTTGGAAAGATCATGGAGAACAGGAGAGGTGCCTGAAGACTGAAGGAAAGCCAACACCACTCCAGTCTTCAAAAAGATGGCAAGGAGGAGGACCCAAAGGGCTACACACCAATCAGCCTCAGGTCCGTCCCTAGAAAGGCAATTAAATAGCTCACCCTGCATATCACCTCCAAAAATGTGCAGGAAAAGAAGGTTGTCTGGAGTATTCAGCATGGATTTACCAAGGGAAACTATTCTTGACTGATCTGAAAGGTTCCTATGGTGGTATGACTGGCTGGGTGGATGAGGGGAGAGCAGGAATATTGTCTATCTTGACTTCAGCAGGGTTTTTGACCCAGTCTCCCATAACCTCCTCATGATGGAAGCTCAGGAAGCATAGGTTAGATGAGTGGGCAATGAGATGGATTGAGAACTGGCTAAATGGGTTCAGAGGGCTGTGATCAGCAGCAAAGAGTCCAGTTGAAGGCCTATAGCCATGGCCTTCCCCTGAGATCAGTAAGTTCAGCTCTGTTCAATTTACTCAACAATGACCTGGATAAAGGGACAGAGAATACCCTCAGCACATTTTTTGATGATGATAAAAAACTAGGAGGAGTGTCTGACACACCAGAAAGCTGTGCTGCCATTCCATGAGACGTGGGCAGGCTGGAGAATTGGAGAGAGGGGAACTGATCAAGTTCAACACAGGCAAGTGCAGGGTCCTGCATGTGGAGAATAACCCCGGCACCAGTACAGTCTGGGGGATGACCAGCTGGAAAGCAGCCTTGTGGAGAAGGACCTGGTGGACAACAAGCTGCCCACGAGCCAGCAGTGTCCTTGTGGCCAAGGAGGCCAATGTTGTCCCGTGGTGTATTAAGAAAAGCAGAGTCATCAGGTTGTGAGCAGTGATCCTGCCTCTCTACGCAGCCCTAGAGAGGCCTCACCTGGAGTGCTGTGTCCAATTCTGGATTCCCCAGCTCAAGAGAGACAAGACACTACTGGAGAGGCTCCAGCTGAGGGCCATGAAGGATTAGGGCACTGGATCACCTCAGAGGGAGCTGGGCCTGTTTAGCTTGAAGGAAAGATAACTGAGAGGGGACCTTATTAAAAACTGTATCTGAGGGGAGCATGTCAAGAGGATGGGTCAAGGCTCTCTTCAGTAGTGCTCAGCTACAAGGCAAAGGGCAATGGGCACAAACAGAAACACAAAGTTCCATCTGAATATTCCATCTGAATATATTTTTGAGGGTGACAGAGCATTGGAACAGGCTGACCAGAGAATTTGTGAAGTCTCTTTCTCTGGGATATTCAAAATTCACCTAGACAAAGACACATGCAACCTGCTTTAGAGGAACTTGCTTTAGCAGGTGGTTTGGACCAGATGATCTCCAGTGGTCCCTTCCAACCTCAACCATTGCTAAATGGAACAGAAATCCAAATGGGAAGGCACTCAACAAAGAAATCTGAACTTCAGATATCATGACTGCATTTCAGTAAACTGCCTTACAAAAAAAACAAACTCAAAAAAATTCCTCCCCCCTCAAAGTATTCTGCTCTTTTAGTGCCAAGAGCTGTGTGCAAAACACTCCAGGCAGTCTGTTCCCTCTTGACAGATTCATTCAGCAAAGCCAGAGCTGTGCTTATGACATAATTGCTTTCATTATGTATTTGACAGACAGAGAGCCAGGAGCCATATATCTGTCTCTGATAGCTAGATAAATAGATGAGGGAGAGAGATGGGAGGTTATTTTTCTATCTCTTCTGACAGACAGACTTATACTGGTTTCCTGTCAATTCTGCACTTCTCTTAGACATGGTGAGAAATTCAGAGGCAGTATGGAAGGTGGGAATTTTAGCTAGCTGTGGTCCAGGTCTTTTTGAGAGATACAAATTCTGATTCTCTGTCTCAGCATGGTTATGAATACAGAAAATGTGCTGTTTCCTTTCTGGAGTGCCAAGTAGCACTGTGAGCTTCTGATTTTGTGTGTTCAAAGTGATATCCTTCTGACTGATTTCTAAAGGTGCAAAATAGTAACATCGTGTCCAGGGAACTGGCTTTACCCTTGCAGCCATTTACCCAGCTGGCACAGGGCAAAGTAAATGTTTGCAAAAGGTCCAAGAACAGAAGTGTTAGCTTCCACAACCCTCCCTTCAACACATGGCTGGCTGAGTTGAAGAGAGAGAAAAAAAAAAAAGACAAATATAACTCTTTCTAAAGAACAACGCACAAAAATCTGAAAACAGTTTCTGTCATGTATACTCCCAAGTCCCTCCCTATGCTTGTCAGTCACTAGATGCTAAGAGTGCTGTGTGGTTGTGCATTTTCCATCCTTCTCTTTGGATGACAGAGCTTTTGCACAGCTTCACAGTGAACTAGATTGGGAAAGCGATCATGTTAAATCTTTTTCCTTTCTTGAGATGGATTAATTTTCAGATGGATCAATCAGGTATCCCTTTAGCTTGGCACACAGTCACAAACACTTGTGAGGGCACATAAGAGATGGCACAAGGGTCAGAACAAGAGCTGCACAAAGGGAGGCTCGGCATCATTGAGATAGTGTTCCTTCCTACACTGTGTTTAAAGCAGTCATGGAAGCATAGCCATAGGATCCTTAAGGCTGTGTCTAGCTCACTTCAGGAAAAGAGAGCCTTACTATCACAGCACATAGTCTAGCCTTAGGTTATTTATCCTAGGGAGAAAATACTCCGTTCAAAAGAGCATAACTAGTTATCATGAATCGTACTCGAGCTTATCACAGTAAATCTGATCAACACTGCTCTGAAACGCAGTTGCTTTTGAATATGTGACTATGTGTGAGTCACAGAAGTTATGAACATCCAATTCTTAACTCAGTTGTGAAAAATTATAATAAAAATGTCAATAATACTGAGAGAAATGTAAAATTCATCTGAAGAAAAACATGAATCACTACATAAGTAATTCAGTTGACAGCAACAGAAAACAGACAAAGTTCTAATGCTGAACTCTGGATACCTTTAGTTTTGTGTACTGTGTGAAAAGTTTTATGCTTCTGCTTGGAGAACCCTGACTTCTGTGGTTCTGTACACTTCTGCTTTGACTTGAACAAAATATTCTCTATTGATGGTTCCTTGAGACTGAGAAGACCTGGGAACAGCTAGGAGGAAGCAAGATTAAATTGATGGTTTGAAGTCTACCATCATGTATGCTGTAGCTGAGATCATGACTCAGTGGCAGCATTCTCTGAGAAAGGAAAACAAGTCTTGCCTACAGCCTGATCTTTTTCTAAATTCCCAAAACCTGACAAATCTTGTCCCCTATACTGAAAAATGACAGTCCACTCTATGAAGCATGCAGTAATCATGTATTTCTGAACACTCCTGTTTAAGGGCAAACTGAAGTCAGTTCATGGCTTTTCCTGTTTTCACTACCAAGTCACTTAATGTATGCATGGTTCAGAGCTGCTGCTCCACTATTTCCATTAAATGACAAATGCACAGCTCTAGGGAATGGTAACTTAAATGGAATCTTTATTTCAAGTCTAGAACTCAGCAGTACACATCCTGACATTTGTGGGTGGAGGAAAGAGACATTGACCCACTAGTACTGAAAACAAAACCATTGTCTAACTGAAAAGCAAAACCAGATGAGCTGCAAGTCTGCAACATGTAAATATTCTTCACTTCCCACTTGTCAGGGAGTGTGATTTTCTCCTTGCTGCCTTCGCCAAAAGCATGAGTGACAGACTTTCTGCACTCTGAATCCAGACATAAGATGTCATATGCTGGCTTTCTGCCCATTAGCATATGGCTGAAGAGACTTGAAACTGGTTGGATAAAAGGAGTTTTTCCCGCTTGGAAAGAAATTGTCATGTTATACTGAGGTCGGGGTAAATCTGGCAGATGAAAGATGTATGAAGTTTATGTAAACAGACTGTTACTGAAACATGTAGCTTGATATTCTAGAAGCTAGCAATGAAAAGAGTTGTTAAATAGGACTCTGTTACTTTAGATTAAGTAGTATCTATCTAGAGTACTTAAAAAATTAAACCAGTGCTAATATTTTCTATCATACCTTACTAGGTATGTAAAACTACACTTGCAAAGTAAGAAGCTCTCTGCGACCTGACATTTCAATCTAAATGATCAATGAACCCAGAGGAAAAGGCACTGAATGAGTCACTGGTTTCTTACCCAGTGAACCCCATACTACTACTACTGGCCTGGTGGCTTTCAGACTGCACACATGCAGCCTAAACCTCTGACAGCTTACTTTCCTGTAATCTTCATGCTGGTGAACAGGGCAAAGCCAAGACTCCAGTAATGAAAAGTGGTATTTGTACAGCAGTACACTGTGCAGCAACTTTCTACACAACTCCCCCTGAACATCTGCATTTATAGATTTAGACAGCTAAGCTACTGTAGGTACATTGGAATGATTTACCTTTAGGGTGATGAGCCTTAAACGGTAATCGTCTGCTTGTATGACTCTGTTAACTGTGATTTCTATTCCTTCATAGGTGACCTGTTCCTCTGGCCAATATTCTGTGCATTTCTGTGTTCAATATAAAACAAATCCAGTTAAAGCAGGTATCAAGGGAGGCTTGTATTTTTTCTCCTCTGAAATTGAATATAGCACATGCATAGATGAATATGAATAAAATTTGTTTCTATAATAAGTACAAGCTTTCACTTACTAAACAGGGACACATTTCAGCTGATTTTTGCTGCATCCATAATAGCCTGATTGCTTGATTAAAAATGCACAAATCAAGTAATTACTAACCAATGCTTTTAAATACACACATCCTTATTTATCTTTATGCAACTGATGTGCATTTTGAAGGCTCATTAGAGAGGCCGGTGGCAATGTGCTTGTGTTTTTTAAATTAATCCTTTTCTTAAGATAATAATGATTAGTATAATATACACTAGTTACCAATATATCTGTGCTGCATATATACTGATATAGAAACACAAAATACAGCTTTTCTATTTTTTTATAAAGACTCAATGCTCTCTGAATATAAAATGATCATTTGTGTGTGCTTTTGCACAAAATAACATGACTGGGGATATTTGGGGAAATAGATTATGTACCAAAATCCACTTAAAATTATCAGTGAAAATCTTTCAAAGCTAGGGAACTAAAAGGCAGCAGTAGCTAAGAGAGAGATTGGACTACTACATTTGATTTTGCCAAAAAAACAGTCAGAGATGCAGCCAGCACAACCTGACACTTAGAAACACAGAAACTATAGTCCATTTGCAGATCTACTTTGTGGTACTGATACACTAGAGATGAGCCAGTGAAAATTTGTAAGCACTCTGATCCTGGAAGGAGGGCTAAAAATGACTGTGGTTTTGTATTTAGTTTCTCTAAATTAATCAATATGCAAAGGCAGAGACAGGTATTTCAAGATGGTGCACAAATTAATTCATGTACAAGGAATGATGTGAATGAGGCAGAGCCTGAGAAAAAGGCTCCGTTGTGATAATGCAAGAAGCTATTTCATTATCACAGGGGAGTAGGTATCTGCTATTCAACAAACCTCAGTAAAGATGATGCTTGTAAGATTCCTTTTACACAGCTGTACACAATCTTGAACGAAACAAGTTGAATCATTTTGCTCTCCCCCACCAAATGTAATTCCACTTGAGGAGAAAGACTAACAACAGAAAAGTACCTTGCAAAGTTACTGAGTCAAAATTTTATTGTGTGGGAGAATCAGTGTTCCATCTGCACAGTACATCAGTTAATAACCCACTAGGATTGTGGCCCACTGTGTCTCTGTAAAGTTATTTATGCAGATTGTGTTTTTATTTCCTCTACTCATAAACCGCAGAATCCACTGCAAAAATTGTCAAGAGCACTACTAGCACAGACATTGCTCTGTTTAAAAGAGTGGAGTAAGATTGCCCACTCATTTCTGTGGGCTGTCAGTTCAGATTAGAAGTGACAGAGGGCTGAGGTGTAGAGCTTTTAATACTCACATTAGTGAAGTCATTGCACTGAGGAAGAACACAAAGCCTCTCTTACTAGCATCATTGCTGAGCAAAACTTTTGGGTTTGAATCTATGTACTTTGAGTTCTGTTATTCATCTATTAGTATAAGAGTTGCAGATAAATGGAGTGAGGGTAGAAGACATTTACATGAAAAGACCCTGTATTTATGAGATTGCTGACACCATTACATTTTTGACACAAAATGTATCAGGAAAGACTTAGTAGCTCTGTTGTGATATACAGGCTGTAGCAAGCAATAGTTCTATAGTACATCAGCACTGCAGTGCACTGCTTCCCAAGACTGATAAAGATGGGTGAAACGCTTGGTCAGTGCAGGTAAGAGGCAACCCAGAAATCAAGGTTACTTTGCTTTCCTGTTATGTTTTCCCATTATATGTATATTTTGTTATGAAAACTATAGTGGAAGAACATATCATCACATGATCACATGTGTGATTCAGGACCAGCACTTCCTCTGCATCTTCTTTAAACCTCAAAGTCCTCAAAAGATTCTGGTGCACTGACTGTGTGATGACATTTTAATATCAGTGTGTGCCAGTATGTGCCAGAAACTGGCCACTTTGATTAATGAGTGAGTTATTGTTTCAGTGCTGCTGCTCAGATGCACGCAGGTGCAAGTTTAAAACATGAGTGAAAACAAAGCATTCATATCAGCAACATACTCTATTGTTATGCATCAGCAATGCCTTGACAGGACAAGTTCAATGAGCCAGCTGTAATAACTGACCATTTTTAACTTGCAAAGCATGATATAGTTCTGTGTCAGACTTGTTCATGTCTTTTTTCAATGGAGTTGAATTTATTTACTTTATAATTATGAAAAGCTGAAGGTTTGTGCATGTGCATGATTATGGGCACTAAGCTTCCAGCTAGCAGATAAGCCATTACAACTCTGTCTGTATGCTGCATGGATGTATGCCCATATTCTTTGGCTTCTAAGCATCTAAAGCTTCTTCTCCAAACAAAAATCTCTAACCTAAATTACTAATCTGTTCTCAAGGACAAGCCTGACATACACTCCTGCTGCATCTTAAGAAAAAAACATTTGGATATCTCCACTCAACCTTGCTGCCTAGTGGTGAAGGAGGATGAAGGGCCCAACCCGTGCCCAGACCACTTTCTCACATCTTACACTGCCAGTAAAGGCAGATGTGAGCTCAGCTACCTGTCTGTGAGCTGAAGCCCAGGAACAAAATTCTTGCAACTCTGCTATGGGGGAAGGATTTCAGCAGGTAACTAATGAACAGCTGGAGGGCTGTAGTATTACAAACTCAAAAAAAAAAAAATTAAAAGAAAAAAAAATCACATCACTACAGTGTAATTTGTGGAAGCAGGTGGCGAATACAAAATTTCAGCATCTTAATTTCAGTATTTCATAGGCATTCCTTAGACATATTCAGGGGAAGGTCCCCAATATCCAAGTCAGTGCAAGTTGTTGACTGTCATACAGAAATCAGGTACTTCAAATTAAGTGTGCATATAGGCATCAAATCATAATTAAATGCAAGATAAAGCAGCAACAACTCTACTGATTAAAGATATTCAACCTTAGCAGTTATGGGGTACTATTGCTTTTGATTCCTTTAGAACTTCAAAGGCTGCCTGCAAATAGAGCTGGGTTAGAAGGGGTTTCAGGTCAGCTGAGAGGAAAATGGCAAAAACCAACAGTAGAGGTCAGAGAGCAAAACAGGACTTACAGTAAACTGAATTGAAGGAGAAGCCCACATCTTCTCTGAGCCTGAAGAATTTAATGCTGTCTCTGATTGCACAGGCCATTGAACTAACTTCTGTTTGTTGGCTTAGTGTCTATGCTGAAAATATCTGATGGATTACAGATAAAAATACTGACTGGATGTAACAGCATTACCTCATTCATCTCTTCTATATTAGTAATCATGACAATGATGGGAGAACGCTCCTGCCACACCATTCTCCAGAAGTCAGTGACAGTATTAACTATTGGTCCCTGAGTAGCAATATATACCTTTTCCTCTCCTCCATAGCCCTGCCAACAAAAGAAAAAGAGATCAGTTTTAACAGGGATGTCCTCCATAACCTTGAAGGTTTGCTCTTCAAAAACCAGAGAGCCATCCTGGATGGAATGCTGACTCCGTGGCACCAGCTCTCCTCTCTCTCTCCTGCACATGTGTACATGGAATGAAGGCCTGGAATTCATGTAATACCAGCAAAGAGTGTCCAACAGCCTTGCGGTGACTCTGGCTAGGTCATGTGCCTTATTCAGGCTGATAATCCAGTGGCTTGGTTAGGCCACCTGACAAGGAATTTTGCATTAAGAACTGCAGAAGTATGTTTCTGTCTGGTCTGAATCTATACAGGTACACTTGAGATTTGGGTCTCAGCTAATGTAATCGTTAGAGAGAAGAGCAACAAATCAGCTAGGATGCCTCTAAAAACCAGTGTATGCTGCAATTCTGTTTACATTAACAGTGGCTGATAGAGGCTGGGCAGATACACTGGGCTACAGAGCTCTTACCCTGATGTAGTTAGCATTGATGTAAGAGCTGAGGGGGTCATCCTGATCAGCTGAGGTAAGGCACACTCTGCTGTGCGGATCTGAAAGGTGTAAGGAGATAAAGAATAGTTTATCAGTTGCTCAGAGGAAAGAGACACACATGATAATTTAGTACAGCAAGACATTTGCATGCATTCACGGCCATCACAGCAGATGTGAGCAGCCTCGGAAAACTCCCATGTTAAGACCATTAAAAAAGGGAAAGGATGGCTGGGGTAATTTGCAGCCTTCTGACAGTTTTACCCACTCTCCGAAGCCTGCCTTAATTGGTCCTGTTGCAGGGTCAGTGCCTCAGCATGACTCTAGAAAAGCAGTTTTCTGCTCCAGGAAATTATTTCTCAATCTGTTAGGTCAACAGACTCATTCTGGCTTCAAAGACACTAGAATATTGTTTGTGAAATGACAGCAAAGAGCTTTTCCACCAAAACATAAACATGCATTTCTTGCACCCAGGCAAGCCAGATGACAATAACTTTCCCTGTTTCATCTTGCAATGAACCGAACTCCAAGATGTGCTATTAACAAATATAATGGTTATAGAGAAATTAAAGAATATTAACAGTCTCTTGCATTTTAAGTCTCTTCAGTACTTGAGTCTCCTTCATTGAGGCTGTTTATGAAGCATTATTCTTGTTCTAATAAGATGACAAAAGAAAACATTATTCCACTTAAGAAGGTCAGTCCAATTCCCACTGAAGTCAATGGCTTCACTTATTTTAATGGGAACTGACACAGGCCCACGTTCATCCACTTTGACCAGTTTGTTACCATTGACAAGAAACATCCTCCTGACAGAGGCCTCAGCAAACAAAAACAGTGTATATGACCAAGATAATATTAAAAACAAACCACAGGTGCCTTTTTCATAAAGAACCTCAGCTGGTTTAGAGAGCAGAATAAAATAAAATTTATGCAAAAATTGTGCTTGACCCAATATCATATTAAGGACTAAGCACACAGTAATTTTTACAGTACTACAAACACAGAATCAGCATGAAATGCTGTTCTCAGACAGACCAGATACATGTTTACTGCAATATTTGGCTTTGAAGCATAAAGAGAACGTTTAGGTCTCCTTGCTTTACCCCCTTCTTTACTGTCAGCACCAAGCCCTGTGGAATGGAGGCAGTGGGATAAGAGTGAGCACTCTGCCCTCTCCTTTCCTCAGCAATATCAAGCTAACCTGTGGCCACAGTCAGGGACAAGGCTGGTAAAAGGTCATTCAGAAAAAAAACTCAGATCATAATAAGGCCAGAAATTAATTAACTTTTACAGAGATGGCTGGGCAGAAAGCAGGTATCTGAGATGAAGAAGTCAAAGTGACAACAGTGGCTGCTGGCAGATACCCATATGGCTGAGATGAAGAGATACCAAATTCAGAATATACAGATCAGATCACTTAGAGATCTGGCACCTTGGGCATCTGAAATCAATATCCACTTCTGCAATCTTCCCGTTCCAGCAAAACCAGTAAATTAATACTTGAACAAATCACCTCAGCCATTAGCACAGCAATGGTGAAAAGTGGTTAAATGCTTTTACACTTCTCATCTGAGGTAGAGTACAAAGTCATCAAAAGAGTTGCACACCTTGGGCTGCATTTGCTGGAGCTTGAACACATTAAAAAGAAATCTTTTTTGAAACCATTTCAAATCTAGATTCATTGACTATCAGGTATAGCTGAGGAGATTTTTGACTTCACTACACTTATATTTGATAACCTGACATTGAACCTTTTGGATTTTGCAAAAGACTACTCTGGATGGTGGTACCATCTTCCAACAACAGCTTAGAGCAAAATGAAACGAAAAATACTTTTCTGTGTCATCTTAATGCTGTCAGGCCAGTTCTTAATATTCTCAGTCTGCATTTGAAAAAGCATCAGTCAGGAAAATAATGTTGCTAGAATTTGATCTTTCAAAAGAAATTTAATGAAAGAAATCACTTGGTAATCTTAATAAACCAAGTTATTGGGTACAAATTTTAAGCAGCACCAAATGATGCCATTCTAATAACTCTAAAAAACCTAAGTTTCCCTGAGGATCAGCAGCATTTTGGTTAACTCTGCTCTGTACCTCTTTGGAAATTTGATTTATGCTTTGGAGCTATGCTGCTGCTCCATAAACATGGCTTTTGGACAATATATTGTGGTGACAGTACACTTCATGCACTCTGGAAAGGAAAATGCAAAGCCCTTCAGCATGTGGAATAAACCATACTGCCTCAGTGACTTAAAAAGCAGAAACTTACTTGGGAGAATTGTTTTGTAGCGATTCTTACGCACTAAGCCTGGAATATCATATTCTTTTGGATCAACAAAGTTCATTGGAATTTCCTGTTTAAAAAAAAAGAAAAACAAAAAACCCACGAAAACATAAGAGACAGTCAGCAGTATTATTAGATTCACAGGAGATATAAAAACCCCAAGCCCATTATGTCCTCTCTGCGAGGGAGGCAAAGAGATGAAGTCAGCTGGGACATATTGTACAGTACTTCTAGCAACTTACCACCGAAGTATGATTGATGTTTCCTTTTACTGTCACTGGCTTTCTTTTCTGAAATCCTTCATGTGAAAAAGCTCCCAGTGACTAATTCATTGAGTAACATGCATGATACGCTCACTCCTAATATTATTAGAACTGAATTGCAAGTGTAGGCACAGAGTGATGCAAGAGGTGGAATGCAAGACACTGCTCCACGAGGATGGACCTCAGCACCATCCTTTCTGACTCATGTTGCTTCCTCCCTGAGGGTGGAAGTTAATAATTTGCTGGGGACTTGCACCAGCAACAAAGTATGACACGCTTTATGACAGGCTGGTGTGCTGACCTGACTCCATGCAGCTGGGGGAACGTCACTGCTTTGCTCATCATGCTGTCAAGCTCTGTGGAAAAGGACCGCAAAGGTGTGTTCAGGGATTGCCTGCTGATGCAAAGAGCACACGAAGATGGAAGGGTTTCCTACTCCCCACTGCTCACCCCCTGAAACAAGTGGCCAGTGCCAGGTGGGAACAAACAGGAACCTCCCGTCAGCTGGAGTCAGTAGGCAGGTGAAGAGAAGGGACGTGTTAACCTGGCTCAGCAGGGATATGGCTCACAGGAACTGGGAGGCAGAACTGGACATCCCAGCTGCTGCACACTGGATTTGAGAGACCACTGCAGGACAGATTTGTAATAGGAATCAGGGTTGAGTAAAGCAAGCCTCACTCTGGGAAAAAATAAAGATGGGCAGAGCTATGGACTGTAGAAACAAAGAATTATTAAGGCTGAAATTGACCTCTAAGATCACTGAGTCCAACCTTTCACCTTGAACCTCCATGTTTACTGCTAAGCCATGTCTCTAAGTGCCACATCCACATGTTTACAAACACTTTCATGGGTGGTGATTGCACCACTTCCTCAGGCAGTCTGCTCTAGTGCTTCACCCCTTTCAGTGAATAATTTTTAACTAATAGCCAATCTAAACCTGCCCTGGAACAACTTGAGGTCAATTCTGGAACCTTAGAAGACTATCTGCACCCCCTCTCTTACAAAGCACTGAGCACACTGTAGGCTTTAACCAGAGGCAAAGAAGGACAAAAACATTTTTCTGAAGTAATTTCCTAACAATTGCAAAAACTGCATGGGAACAAAATCTTCATGTTTCTCTCAACTGTTCCTTGGTATTTAGACAACCCAAACTCTTCCTGAGCCAAGCTCCATGGGCTGTTTTTGGGTCTTAAGTCCATGCTAGCCAATTCTTGGTGAAATCAACAGGAATACAGCCTGAGTAAAAACTCTAAACCTTGTATAAATTTCATGATTTAGCCCTGTTAATGTTCTCCCTGACTTTTCTTCCAAAATGAAACAGCTGCTTGCCTCATCTGGGATCTGGACTTTGAAAACCAAGTAGGTTAGACAGAGTGAAAACATATGATGAAGATCTAGCTGGTGGTAACTGTTTCACAAAAAAAGAACTAGTGTACGATTTTTAATTGCAGAAATGACATTTTGATTGCACAGCATTTTGTGTTCTTTCAGTTTTCATTAAAGAATGAAAATAGCTTGGGATGGCTTGGCTGCTGAATGATTCTATGAACACCAGGAAACATAATTAAAAATCTCTCAGATGAATAAAGTGCATTTTTTCCTACTTCTAACATTATTTTCTTTGCTTGAAAGCTCCAGAGTAGCTCAAAGACTGATGAAACTGTATGTGGACTAGTCTAGCAGTCAGTTCAGACATCTAGTCAACATTCCCTCCCTAAAAGAGCAATAGATGCTTTACTTTAGAAGAATCAAGGCTTTTCCTACAGAAAAACTGCTTTCACTCCTAATATTATTAGAACTGAATTGGAAGTGTACAACTTGTACAGCACTAAAAGAATTTAAGACCACAGATACCCTGCGTTCTTTTTTAAAACAGAAGCCCAGACTATACCCCTGTTCTTATAAAGGGAAAAAAACCCTGAAACTGCACAAGGAGGGAGGGCAGCAAGTGATAATCAGAGTGGCCTTTCCCTTTCAGACACACAGAGGTCATGAAGAGGACAGGCTGAAAGAGCTGTAATGTTGCAAAACAATCTTCCTCCTGCTCTGCTGAGATTTCATGCTTAAGAGAATATTTGGCATGGCAGTATTAACTTCAGTAGTTTACAACTAATCAATTATTTTTGTGCAGAGAAAAACCCCAGTAATACATACTTTCTATAGCTCCTGCTGAATGACAGAGCCACACTGTGTTTCAGGTAACCAGAGGACATTTAGATTTGGAAAGTAGCTCCACATTAAGCACTCAACAGCAAAGAGGGTGGATTAGGACTAATTTCATCCCTAGGGCAACTCCAGACACATTTCAAGAAGTCATGCTTGTAACAAATGTGGCTTTTCTTCTGAAGTGTAGTGATTTTATTTGTTGCTGTTTTTAAAAAGGTAATATACATCAGCAAAAACCAAAAAAACCCACAAAACCTCGTGAAACAAAGACTCCTTGTTGTTGTTGTTTCTGCCAGAACCAATTCTCTAATTTTTAAGTGACAGTATCACTGAAAGCTTTCAGACATTGTAATTTAAAGGAAAGATAAATTTGGGAATTGCATTAAATGCTTCACTAACAGAAGTGGAGTTTGCATGTACTACTTTTAGACTGGCAGAGAATAATAGCAAGGTTTTCTATGGAGAGACAACATCCCATTTTTATTGATGCTCCTAGAAGAGAGAGGTGAGACACTCACAAAGAACTCTGCCTGAAGTATGAAAGGATCCAGTGCTTTCTTGTGCAGCTCCTCCTCAGTCAGGATGTTCGATGCTGTCTGGAGGTATTCTCGGGCTGATTGCTCCCGTGGGGACATGACATAGCCAAAGCCTTGCTCAGAGCAGCCTGGGGTGCACATATCCAGTGTGAGTGAAACATTTGAACCTCTCCTGCAAAACAGAGCAGTCAAAGTTTGCTTACAACAGACCCATCACTGCTAGCAATGACAGACAAACAACTTTAGGAAACCACCCAGATGGTTCTGATGGGGACATTTTGGTCAGCACCTGTAAGAAAATGGGTGATGCTTCTTGTGTGGACAAGACCAGAAGATGTTTTTTTACACTGAAACGTCACTGGGGTCAGATCTTGGGATACACTACCAGTTCAACTTTATTAAAGACTCAAAAGCCAGCCACTGCAGTGAATAATTTTTCTATCTGAAAAATGTTCTTTCCACAATCATAACAAAGGTAAAATGAAGGTCCCAACAGTTTATCAGTTACAGTATAAAGAGAGATACTGTTGAGTGCAAAATTTTTACTGTTAATTAACCACACAACAAACCAAAGAAGTCAAAATGCCTACTATGAATAAAGTTTTAAAGCACTTCTGTTAGCCTCACATATGATAGTCAAAAGTAAGATTCAAAAGCCGTCAGTGAATCTATATTTAAATAACGTAATAATAAAAACCACACAATATGATGATTACTAGGTAGAGGTTCTATACATCCACACAGTAAACCTATTTTTGATTAATCTTAACTCAAAAAATTTAGTTAGAAGGTGTGTGCAGGAGCTATTAAAAACCATGTAAGCATGCAGGTATGACCAACTCACAGAGAGAACAGAAGTCATCACTTGGATCACAGCCCTTTCCTGGACTTAGGAGTTTGTCCAAGGGAATTTGCAGCCAGCCTGCTGCTATGATTCACAGCCATGGGGAAATGCCACTAGTGGCAAACATGGAATCTCTAGTGACACCTTTCAAAGGATTTCACCTTACCTTCCTGTGTGCTATTAAACAGTTACCACATTTCTCCCCTGAAACCGATGCATTTGACAAGGATTGCTTTTTCTTCTTTTAAGGTAGTAGAGGCTACCTACGTTAACAGTTCTTCAGCATGAGGAAATGAGATTATTTCTTCTTCATCAATATCCAGTGGTGTTTGAATTTAGCTGCTGACCACCCTTTTAATTGCATAGGCAGTTAAGGAATGAGAGGAAAGTAAGAGAAAAGCAGAACAGATGCCAAAGAGGCACAGGTAGATAACTTAACAACACCAAACAAAAGAAAAGTTTGTAACAAAGGAAAATATGTAATGTAAATGAAGTTTGTCAGGGCACAGCTCAAAACTGAAATGATGTCTGTCTTCTCAAGAATGTGTCTATGTTGAAAGCAAGTTTATATCTTAAGTGTTCACAGCATTGTACCTAGTTTGAGAACTTGAAGCAATTGCTCTCATTCTTCCACTTCTAGTTATTTGACAGGTTTTTCATTGTAATTCATTACTTTGACCAATTGATTACTCCCCAAACAATACTCCCCTATCCTCTTGATTTGTGTAGGCTAGCAGTCACCTGAGGAGAAATGTCACATCTTTAAAGTGACAGAAATGGAATGAAATCAGGGATAGTGAAGAACACAAATGACTCAGTTATTTTAAGCCCAATCTTGCCTATAATGAAAAATCAATAAAACAGCAGTTTCAGGGACAAGCCCCAGAGGTTACTGTGATCTCATGTAAAGACAGAATAAAACAATAAAAGGTATAAGATTTTATGACAATGTTATAACAAACCATAAAGCGATAAAAAACATTCTAAACCCACAAGAGTGCAAATTGAAAGCCTCTTCTGCAACACTCCTTTTTACTGTGATCTGAGGAGCTTTGGAAAATCAGCATTGTATTCTTAAAATCTAAGTACTGTCCTTTGTTTTAAGCTTTAGAGATGGGAATTAACTATGGTTAGCACTCCAGTTAAAACTGAGAAATAAAGAAAGGTGATACTTTGCTATACTGGGCCCTTCAGTAACTTCATTCTCATTCAAAACGGCCTCACTTTTGCAGAATTTCTTCACAGGAATTCTATCATCAAGACCTTTGCCCTATTTCACTAAACAACCGAAAGGGCACAAAACAGAAAAAGATTTCTCTTTAATCTTTAAACTGCCCTTTCCCAGCTGTGAACCTCTCTGAGAAGCTCCCGATTTGCCTGAGAAACTCCTTTTTTCAAGCTGCCCTAATGGTTTAAGTAGTGAACACCACCTCACCCCAAAGTTTCATTACTGGGTTCATTTGAATAGAATTCTTTTACTTTGGATTAACTCATTTATATGAGTTAGAGATTATTGCTTTTTCTATGGTTTGCTTTCGGAGAAAAGACTAGTCCTCCAGTATGAGTGACAAGGGAAAAAAAATAAAAAAATTAAAAAAAAAAATCAACAAGACCCACTTCTTTCAGGGGCAAAAGCTTTCACTGCTCTATAGGGGATTTCATGCAGCAGTTGCTGTCTTAATGAGTAGTGAGAGACTGGTCAAAAACAAATAGATGTATTCAATGGAAAGAAATGATGCTTCAGAACAGCACTTGTTGACAGCTGTCCAGAAACTGTGTGCTCTTTAGCTAACATGCTTGTATCTAGGACTGGACTAAAAAGAAGACAGGAAATAAAGCAGGTGCTTGACTTTACAACCACATTTGAAAGTGACACTCACAAAAGCAGTAAAGCTTCCTACTAGGCACAGAACTCCTAAACCCACAAAATCTGGGAGCAGACTTTTCCCTATTAGTCACATCTACCCTACCTTTCTTGCAATCCCATGGATTTAACCGTCAGAGTAGCTGGGTCTGTCTCCGCTTTAATATCCATTATGCAGTCAAAGACTGGAGTCTCTGGTACAGGATCCAAATCTAGGAAGTCATCCTCGTTTTTATCCTCTGTCCACTCTGAGTACGTGAAGGAAGGCTGCCGGCTCACAGACTGGCGTCTGTCCTCTTGCAGTGGAAAGGGGGGGTCTGGTCGGGCTCTGAGGAGTTGCCAAAACTGGAGGAAACAAACATTTTAAAAAGTTGCTGCTTGCAGCCCTTTGGTTCAGCCTAGGGCATGGGTCTTTAGGCAGCATCCCAGCTGTCTGTATTTGAATTGGAGAGTACAGAAGAGAACAGGAATGTTCCATGCAGGAGCAGCTTTGTGGTGTGTGTTACAAGGATTCACATCTACCCATTCAAACCTGCTTTCAGCCATAGAGGTTTCCACAGAGCCAGCCTGGCTTAACTCAGGGATACAGTGGAAGCAAAATGTGCTTGTGACCATCATATGCAAGCCAACGTGATACTACTGTTCTTTTGTTCAGTTTCTTATCCTTCCCAGGCTTGTTTACAAAACAAAAATCCACAGTAGTATTCTATAAATCATATCTCTCCTGATTTAATGGCTTTCCATTTGAAATTTACATATAGCTGTGTTAAGCTAATATAATTGAGCTAAGCATCTTTAATAACTAGGCATTGTACCCTGAATTTATGCATAAAACCCACCATTTTTTGAAAAGGCCCCAATTTTGATGTACTTGATCCTGGGGCTCAGAATGCCCATATCAGTTTTTGGCCAGGGGAAAAGACTGTTATAATCTAATTATCTGATTTGAATATGGCATAAACATTAAATAATGAATCCTGTGAAGTTTTAAGACACAAGTGCAATATGAAAGTTTATATTACAAATTAACAAAAAGTTTGAAATTGCATGAATCTAAAAAATTTCTGCATCACATCAATTTGAACAGATGCTGTGATGGACTAAATGATTTAGAAATCAGATCAGTAGACTTCAAATCCTCCACACAGATTTCAGTTAAAAATTTCAAGCCCACCTCTGAATTCCAGGATCTGGAACCCTAGGCCAACTTCATCCATCTAGCATAGAACTAGGAGTAGTATCACCCAGGCTAATGCCATATAAACTATACTGCATTGTCATGCATCCTTTTGAGACTAAGAACAGGTCTTATTTTCCACAGTAAAAGCCTCTTCTGGCCTTTTCTTATGTGGCTTTTAAATGACCAGTTGAATTTTAAAAAGTGCCACTAAAGAAGGTCAAATTTCTCTTTATAGGCTACTAAAAGCAATTTAGGATGTCATGCAGGATTGTGTGAATTTCAACATTAGGAAAGCAGGGCTTGGTCATAAAGGAAAGGACCATAAAGGAAAAGACCCCTTCAAGGTCTCTTCTAGGCAGCACATGGCTTAAAATCAATTTTAAGAGAGAGAGAGAGAGAGATATTACTCAGCTGAGACAAAGGCGCGAGCAAAGAAAACTGTCTTCATGCAACAACCTGTTGTTGATGAGGCTGGGCTTGTAGAAACCCTGCCTGGTTCAATCACCATTTTCAATGCTCTGCCAATGACTATGTTATAACTTATTCTGCAAATACTGATAAAAACAGATGTTTTCAAATTTGCAAATTGCAATGCAGCATGACCTCAGACATCTGAGAGGAAGGTGACAGGCAGGAAGGGACAGGGCTCATGCTCTCCTTCCTAATGAGCATGTTAGAGAGAACATACTGGGACAAGATGGACCATTGGTTGGAACTCACAGGACACTAATACTTGGCTGCCTGGTGACATCCAGAGAGCAAAGTGACACAGAGTAACTTCTGTGCCTCTACTCTAGCTAAAAAATTCTTAGCACAGACCACAGGAATACAAACCAGTGCAAACTCTTCAACATGGAAACTGTCAGAAAAGGTTTTTCTGTACACAAATGTTAACCAACAGAAAAATGGGCCCAGTCTACTTTAATCTATAGTGGTTTTTATGTTTACTTGCAAGGAGTTCACATGGAAAGAGAGATCATCATTTTTAGCTATGGAGAGCTTTCACTTAACTTTACCTTCTGTGCTAAGAATGGGTCAGCAATAAATGTTTTCATCCACAGAGAAATAGCTGAATATTCAAAAAAATCACACCCCTGCTACTCAGATTTTCAGTCCAGAATATTTTGCTGCTAATTTATCTGGAACTCATACAGTTCTTGACAATTCTTACATGTAATTTTTGTTGTTTTCTTTAATATTTGCAATTACGGAATTACCAAAAGTTTATTTTTGAGAACAAAATTAATGTGGATAAGGTACAGCAACAGCAAAAAAACAGAAAATTGCATAAACCTCGCTAACTTCCTTGCCTACATCAGTGATCACAATAATGGAGGCATTAACTATAAATACTTTGCCTTGTGAGTGGTTTTTAGAAAGTCCATTTTCCTGACACATTAAACAGAAGATTTTGCCACTATGCTGCCTCTGAGTGAACTTAACCATGGCATAGAATGATTCCCTTCCTAGCAGGGAATGTGGCCAGCAAATCAAAGGAGGTATTCCCCTCTCCTTGGCACTGATGGAGATGCACCTTGAATACTGTCTACAAATTGAGTTCCCCCAGCTTAAGACAGATATGGAAAAACTGGAGTGATCCCAGTAGACGGTTTCAAAGGAGGTCAAGGGTCTAGAGTAGAGGAAAAACGTGGAGGGAATTGGGTTGTTCAGCCTGCCAAAGAGGAGGCTGCAGTGATCTAACAGTGGCCAACAACTGCTTTAAGGGCAGCTCCAGGGATGCAGCCAGACACTTCTTGGTAGTGTCAGCTGATACCACAAGGGACATTGGCCACAAGCCTGTACAAATTCAGCTCAGACATTTACATTTGTTAAATTCAGATGAGACACTAGGAATAAACTCTTCCTCAGAAGTTCCACACAGCTGTGGCACAGGCACAGAGAGAGAGGATAAACCTTCCTTCCCTGAAGGTTTTCAAAACCTGTGTGGAAAAAAATCATGGCTGACTTTACCAAGTGTTGGCAACAGCCTGGCTCCAAGCAGGATGTTAGACTAGCAATCTCTGCCCACCTACAGTCCCATGATTCTGGGATTCATTTCATGCTGTGCATCACTCAAACAGCATGTGCATAGCACATCTTCAACTTCCTGAGCTACCCTGGGGTACACCTCTGGAAGGACAGGAGATGATGCTCTGCCTGCATGTTCAGCAGCTCCACTCTAAGAGAACAGCATGGAGGGGTTTGAAAAGCCACATCCAGTTAGAGCTCCCTGACAAGACAGTTCTCCACAGTCTCCCATCTACCACACAACTTTGTGTCTGTTATACAATCCATGGAGAAACACAACACACTGCTGCTCCCCAACAGCTGACAGCTAACCAGATTAACCACAGTCATGCCACTTGAGCTTGTTCTGCAGCTGGGGCACTGGCCTACATCTAACAGGACTTCATATTCAGAAGAACAGTGGCTCCTTCTGCCATTGAAATCAATGGATGATGGTCCTGTTAATGGACCACACCCCTTCTGCTTCAGTGCAAATAGTTTGCCTATCTGTGGATGGAAAAAATAAAAACCATTTTTATATACCATTCTACTTCAGTGCAATCCCCAGTTCATCAAGAAATTGAGTAAGGCTAATTCCACTACATGAAGCAAGTGGATAATTGTACAGAAACAGTCCCAAAAATTATGTTTTACAATCAACTTTGGCCTAAAACCAACAACTTTCATTTATAAGACATCTTATAAAAACTCACTGAAAAAGGGCATGAATATAGTTTGTGCTGTACCATAACTTACCAGAGATCCTACAAAGAGCAGTCCTAGAGAAGCCAAAGACAGCAGGATGTATGATACCACAACACTCCCAACTGTAGTCAGGCTCTGTGGAACAACAGAACAGACAGTGATTCATGCAGTGTTTAGGGGCACAGCAGTGTCTACATGCATGTTCTTGGCCAAGTGTGTATTATTTCCCATGAAGCTTTACTGATATCATACTCACCTGTGGAAAAGCTTCCGTCATCACAAAAAAAAAAAAAAGCCAGGCTATGGGGAAGACTGAAACTGAAACCATTTCTAAACCCTGGCATCTCAGAAGGTCTAAACCCCAAATTTCACTGTGAAGGCAAACAAGAGTTCTGCTTCCTACCCTCATGCTTTGCTAAAGTTGAGATCTGAATCCACAGTCCAATTTTGCAGACTGGATAAACACTTCATTGCTACAGTCAGTGTGATTTTAAACTGTGGCAAAGAGCTTTAAACGAAGTTTAGTACTGTTCCTGGGTTTTGGGATCCTTAAATAGAATACAGCCACAGAGGAGTTTTCTGTGTTTTCTACATATTCAGTGAAACACCATAAGGTTAATTCACACCACTGGCAGTGGAATTAATTCTGATGTCATTTTATAGTAGTCTACAGTTCAGCCTGTTCTCTGCAGTAGGTGCAAAATTCAGTTTTGACGGGCTTCAGTGAGCAAGGAATTTTACTCTGTTTTTCTCCTACTCCTCAGTACAGCTAATGAGAAATTTGGAGTTAAGAGCTTCCATTTGCTTATTTTAACATCAGAAGATTTCTTTGCCTATACTGTTTTCAAGTGTAAATTTGCACAATAAATAGTGCTATAATAAACAGTCCTCAAACATATGCATGAACATCTGCACAGAGTCATACTTGGGGTGTTCTTGTGGAGCATTCTAGGAATCAGTTTCTTCCATGAAGGACAATTATTGCAAGTCAAAATTATACAAATCAGTGACTTTCTGTAAGGAACAACAATTTGTTAATGATGAGCCACTGCAAATAAGACACAGGCAACAGTCTGTGAAGAGTTCTGTGCATAATAAAGCCAACTGCAAAAGGGCAAAGAGAAAGTGCTTCTTTCAAAAAAACCCAAAAGAGCAGGTGATATGCAGCTCATAAACACTGAGAAAACAGAAAACAGTCCCTGCTGTACTTCAATCACAAGAGGCACTGAATCAGATTTTCTATTAGCACTGCAAAGCCTCTGCCTCAAAGACTATGTACAATGGATCTAAGCATTCTGACGGCAAATATATTTCATCAGATTTTTGAAAGTACCTGTTCACCACTTAATTAAGGTTCTGGCCACACTAGAAAAATCTGCACTGGGTATAATTACCAGTAATTTATCAGATGAATCATTCTGGTATACATGTCATCATGTCATGGTGAGAAGCTAAGCAATTTAACTGGGGTAACTCTGTAGATATAATTGAATCTGTGCACCTAGTACACTTGAAATACATTTCATGCACACAGATCTGTTCTAAACACTCAACAAAAAAAAAATAAATTTTGAAACTACGGTGTGATTTGCACCTTTTATATGGGTTGATCCATTCATCCAGAATTTAAGCTTCTATTCATCCTAAGAAATGAAATTTCAGCCCTCCCTTTACTGTGGGCTAAACCTTAATGAGATGACTTCTTACTGCTTTGTTTCATTTGCAATAATTTTCACATAACAAAAAATATGCTGTGTTGACCTAACATCACAGTCAAAAATTCAACCCAATATCTCAAAGATGAAATATTCATCTGCTTTCAGAAAACAGTTCTACCATTTCAGAATGTACACGTGAAACACACGCATATTATACTTATTAGAAGAAGTATTAGAAGCACCACCCAAGGCTACTGACATCAGCTCTATAACCAGAGAGGAGCACAGGGACTTACCTCCCCTTGATCTGAAAAAACCTGTTTAAATGGGGTAAGCAAGTAAGAGAGCAGGTCAAAAGCATTCTGAGCTTCTGGGATGGTCCCGTAAGTGCTGTACCACAGCATCATGCAGAGAAGCTGTGCAATCAATCAGAAAAGACGTAATTAGCATCTCTCATTATACGCACATTCATTTTAATTTCAAGACTGCATAATTAACTAATTTAGTTAGCATTGATTTCATGTTGATTATCGCTTTTGCTCTAAGAAGTCAGGTATTTTCTAGGCTGTGGCTTAACAGGAATAAAAAGACTGAAGGCTCCAAGCTCAGCCACTATTAACTAGATGTGCATCACTGAGTTACACAGGCTCCCTCTGACCCCCACCAGCAAAAGGGCTGCCCAGAAACAGCACGTGGAGCAACACAGAGAGCAACAGGTTCCTCTGGCTTCTGAACTTTCAGGACTATGACTTTTAGATCAAAGCCAGTAATTTCCATGAACTTAGGATGTTATTAAAAGACTCTTAAGGCCTCTCAAAGCTCCCACAAATAGCCATGTTTCACATAAGCATCATTATAAATACACACAAATACACACACATAGAAGCTTTTCATTTGAACCACTTAAGGGTGCTGCACATGCCACAGTTAACATAAATGACAAAACCAATGACTTTGTATTTAACACACTCACAGAGAGGTATAACCTCATTCCTAACTGTGAAGGGCACTCAACAGCTTTAAAGAACACACTTCCCGCTGCACTTGTTAACATCTTTACCTCCATACATATCAGCTACAGAAAACAGATTTGGTGGGATATTGGTCATTTGGCAAAGGAGGCATTTGCAGAGCAGCAGGAGATGGGATAGGAGTCTGGGACATCAAAAGGCAGGGGCTGTTCTCAAGGCAAAGCCGTGAGAGGTGGCTGCAGAAATTAGGACAGCAGCTATTCCCAGTGAATGAGGAAACCTCCCAAGCCAGCGCAGCTAAAAGAAGGGTCTCAGCATTCCAAAGCTATGGCAAGCTGTCTTACCAGTATCTGAGAGAGGACAAACAGATACATGCTGTCTCCGGGGATTAATCCATTCCACCGGGGAGGCCAACCGAGCACTGCTGTTTTCTGGGAGGCTTTCAGGGACTGCTCCTTCCTCTTCAGCTCTCCTTGCCGTCCTTCAGCTTCATCCACTGACTCCATAACAGCTGGACGGGAACAACCTTCACGTGAAAACGACATGTGCAGGGGATGAATGGGATGTGACCCTGTAGGCACAGCGGGGGCTGCAGGGCTATTGTTTTCCTGGAGACGATGGTTACCTCTCAGTTCCGCCTCAGCAAGCGCAGCTCAGGATTGTGAGCGTCACACTCTATTAGTGCAGCTTTATTCACCTGCTTTCATCAGAAAAAAAGTGAGTGTGGGCGGATAAATTATTTTCTCTTTCTTTCCGGAGGTGCAGATTCTGGGCTTTGTTAACAAATCCTCATTTACATTGCTGCACTTTCTCATTTTCACTTTTTAAAAGCAGCTACCTGTGCTATTGCCTAGCTACACACTTCCCAGCTACACGATGGCAGAGAACCTATTTTTCCCTTTCCTGTCTCAATTTCTCTACTTCTTTTATTTGTCTGCTTTGTCTAATCCAATTATAAATTTCTGAGGTAGAGACTGTTTCATGTGTCTATGTGTCTGAATAGTGCTTGGGGACTCTGGGTTTTGGCTGGATGTCCTAAGGCACTAATAAAATAGAATTTATTCCAATAACCTACTTCTTGGATGAATTCATACTCAAGAGCTATTTAATAATGTTGCAATGCTGTTCTGTTCAGTGAAAATAACCACTGGTGTGGCTATTCCCTCAGTAACTGTATTTTGAATAGAGTCTGTGTAGACTTAATTTCATTTACAAGTGAGAAGGAGCGAAAGATCAGAATCATTGGGTGTAAGTCTTACTGACTTACATCTTTGTACATGAGGAATGCCCCAAGGCTGCCCTGTGTACACACTGTAGACTTAAGCCTAAACCAGCCTCTTGTGTCCCAGGGAAAGGCCACACCATTGGTCCTTATATGGTTTGTTGAGGTCAGGTTTCTACAAAATGTTCCTCTCAGCAAACATTTCTTTAAATGTCTCACAGTAGCACCTCTAAGTCAGATAAGCACCCATTAACTAGCCACAGCTCTAATCAGGCAAATGAAATATATCTCTGCATCTGCTGAGGGTCTGGCCATAGTAAGAATTCATCTTTAAAAGCTTTTCTCTTTTAACGCTAGCCATCATGGGAAGTCTACCTCTGTCCTTAAAGTTTAAAAGTTTTAAGCTTCTAAACTGCTTCATGTCTCACTAGATTTGAACAAGAATTGAGAGGAAAATACTCGTTAATGATTGCCAATTTTTTCCTGCTAACTTTGTGGGATGCTTATGTTCTGTGTTTAGGAACAGGAATTTGAAATTTAGCAGGGACAGAATCTTCGTGTCAGAAACTATTTTTGTCATCCTTGCAGAGAGACACACACCTATGTCTCAAATCTAAAGCTTCAAAAATACCTACTTTCTTATAGTTTTTTATTGTTTGCTCCAGAAGTCTCTAACCTTCCGTTTTCACTAAACATAGTTTAAGTCCTACTTTTCCTTTATCTGCATTAAATAATGTCCCTCTTTCCCTAAGAATGATTAATGGACATATTTACTGTTTCTCCAGGTTCTGATGATTTCCTGTCTTGCATACTCCTTCCCAAATCTCAAGATAAAATATACACAGTGCAAAACTAAAACACTGAGAAGACAACCAGACCAAGGAATGCAAGGAGCCAAGGAATGCAGATTTCATGCTTAGCTTTCAGCTGGTTATTATAAGTCATAATATTTCATATTTCAGAACATTTTTTTAACTGACCAAAGGTGCTGCCTTATGTAGCAGGTAAACAGCATTTCTTTGTTTCATACTTGTAACAGCCTGAGATTTTACAAGGTCATTTCTGGTTGGAAACAATCCCTTGAATATAATACAATGACGAGAAGGCCACTTAACTGCATCTTCTGGAACAAAGATGTCAAAGTTAGGGCACTGCTCTGTATCTGTAACCATGGCGATCTGTGCCTCTCCACAGCCCAGAAGTCCAACTCCAGGAATTCCAGTGTTGTCTAGTAACACCTGTACAATTGCAGGGGTCACATTCTCCTTCTTACAACTGCCCTATATGAAGGACGATAGAGCACTCTTATTTTCAATTATTTTCACTGCATAAGGTAGAGACCTGCCCTGTGAACCTGGGAGCCCAGGATTCCAGCTCTGCTGAACTGACACTGTTATCAAGAGGTATTTTCACTAGCACAATGGAGGGCAAAAAGTGTAAGAACTAAAATAATGGAGAACTGGCTGAATCTATACATATAAATAAACAGATACATGTCTTGGATATACAAAGAGAGGGTCTAGAATTAACTAAAGTCCACTCAAAATTTTTCTCCTACAAATCCCAGAAGATTAGATTCTAACAAGTATAATGATGCCCACCTCAGGTTCTATATTGATTTAACTATGCCAGCTTTAAACAATACTTCAATTAGCACTCACATGTCATCTTGCAATCCTATATTCCTGTATTGTTTATCCTAAGGGGCCCAGGATTCTTTCAGTTGTAGATGAGGTAATGAGTGAAACACAAGTGAAGCTTTCTTGTGTCAAGGTGAATGTGAAGGTCTTGAGAGAGCTGGCAAGGATGACTGCATCCAGGAATGAACTGAGCCTCTCTCCTGCTAGTGATTTGACTGAGAGTGAAATGTAGCATCCATGTGATAGCTTACTCATTTCCTGCATCACGGAGATGGGGATTCAATTTCCATGAGTACTTCTGCTTTGATACAAGACTATACTTGCTAGGGAAAAAAAAACCTTTTGGCAGAAGAATTAAAAGGTCTCTGACATCTGTAGCAACCATATGGCTTGTGAAAGCAAGTTGAAATTTCAAAACAGCACGATAAACTTAAACTCCTTCTTGCTGTTCAGGGAAAAGCACTTTCTGGATCATGCCAAGGATCCATTCATCCTGTATTCTTTCTCTACACAGTGCCACCAAAACTAGCTGCCAAAAATACACAGCATAGCACATTATCATATTATGGAATAATACATATATATAGGGAAACATCTTTCTTCACTCAGGAGGTAAAAGCTGGCTTCCATAACTCTGGCAATGCACATTTTAACCCCCCAGTATCTCTTTTTTCTTTTTTTCTGACTTCATATATGGGTACATAACAGGCAGAAGGATAAAAAAGCACCTATATAACTCAGAAAAACAAGTGCTTAAAGTACTAGTCTTAGCTGAAACATTAAAAGGCACTGTAGCAATAATAATCAAGTCAACAAAGCCTTACAGTAACAAACATGTCACGATCCCATCAAATCCTGCTGTGGGTGAGGCATTAGCAGCTCTGTAACTCAACTGATTCATACTTAAAGCCTTCAGAGAAAAACAAAACAAAAAACCAGCCCCTCAGAACCTCACATCCTGGCTGTATTTCCTAATGAAGTTAACATTTTAAAAGGAACTTGTGTCCTCTCTTGTGCATGGGTACTAATGCTCAAGGAATTGGCACAGCTCCATTGACAGACTTAATTTAACAACATATTTTTGAGAGAAAGATGTTCCTCAACAAAGCTGTTTTTATAACAGAAAGAAAACACACCCCAGCAATGAAAAGACAGTGCTCATACAGGCATTAAGCATTTATGCACATCCGTCACACTGTCCCTGCGGGAATTGTGATTCTGGGTTGGATGGTACTGCCTCTTCACTGGGAAATACAGGTTTTGTTAATGGTGAATTCTACCTTCCAGACATAGAAGACAGGAGGGCAAAAGGGGCCTCACCTGCTCTGCCAAGTCTCAAGCCGCAGCAGCAAACACACCACAGCAGCTTGGCTGCATTGCCCCTAATTGTTCTAGGTGTATTGAAGATATCCCTCTGAACCTATCCACATCTTGATTATGGACATGTGTGGTGAGAATCTGTAGGAATGGACCACAGAGTGGAAGCACAACAAAGTATGAACATGCCAGTTCATGCCAGATAGCTCACATCCATCAAGATTACCAACACTTCACAACAGAGTCATAAGTCAGTTTACGGCCTCTGCATCTTCAGATGCCCAAATGCAACTGCCTACTGAAATCTCTGCCTCTAATTTCCATCTAACTGCTAGGGAGAACTGATACTGACGAAAGAACAGTAGATGAAAGCACACTATTGAGATGGGTCTCAGTCTATTGCTGAAAAGAATTATAACATGCACCTCAACTGCATACACAGGGCATAGCCCTTGGCAATACAGCTAACAGATTTGGTCAAGACCTTGTTAAATACACACATCACAAGACTTCCTGATTGCAGGCAAGTCCAGGTGCTGGAAAGACGCATCAAAGCTGAATGAACTGCCTCAGAGTGCACAAGAGGCAGCTTGTGCTAGAGGGTAAAAAGCCTGTCTTATCCAAAGAACAGAACTTTAGGAGAATGTTTTCTTAGCCAATACCTATCTCTTTTCTTGATTGCCACTGCAGCATGAGAAAGATGGAAACTGAATAATTAGCTTTCTTTTGCACTGCAGTGGTATGGGAAGAAGTGGGTAAGAGGAAGGGGACCTCTCATACTTGCATAGCAAAGGCAACTTGTGTACTTACATTCTTCGTTCTGCAGGAAACCAACTCGTGGGTCACTGTTTTATAACTCCAAAACTTCTCCTGAACTTCTTTATGAACAGCAATCTAATTTATTAAGCAGTAAATGTGACAGAAGCAGCATCATTACTGTTTACATACAGATAAAACTCACCACCAAGGAAAGTCTGTTTCTTCTTGATTCTATCTGCACTCCTAACTTATCTGATAAGTTATGTTGAAAATTTACACTAAAGATATAATGATCTGTGTTGAAAACTGGGGATGCTAGCTTCCCCATTATTCATTTTTTTAACCTTTCTCATCATGACAACTGCTACTCTGCTCGATGCCTGGCCTGCTCTGTTTATGAGAGTTCAATACATTTATGTTTTTCAAATGGCTGAGTAAAATGCTGCTCAGGAGGAGAGCATCTAGGCCCCAAAAGTATCCAGATTAAAAGCTGCAAAGAAAGACACCCCCAGACGCTCCCCACAGCTACCTACTACTGATTGACTGGAGATAGAGGGGATTTACAATGATGTAATCTCAGTACCTCCAATTCTGTTCTGGATAAAGTCCAAGTTCTAGCTGCCAAAAGCTTGTGGTTGGTAGATCTTGCATTTGTAATGCAAAACCACACTGAGAGCTACTTCAGAAAGTATCAGACAGCTTAATTCAAGCACAAGCAACAAGCCAGGCAGATCCACGGATCCCACG